TGTTAAAATCATCTTGAAGGTAAAAGTGATTATACACAATCTCATTATTATTTATAGATATTCAAAATTATCGTTGATTGTAGCCACTTTGGATGTATGAAGGCTAATCAGTAATTAAGTTCATCAGATGGTATTTTCTACTAATTTATCTTTTCACAGTAATATAATAAAAAATACTTTGGATATCAATTTATATTGAAAAATTCATTTAATATATTGCAACAACTTTAGTTACCTTTTTTCTTATCTTTGTTATTAATAGTAACTTGTCACAAAACCTTTATTTATAACATTAAGACTAATCTCTTTATAAACAGTAAAAAAATCAATAAATATATCATAATACCTTAAATGATTATATAAGCATTTTTTTTAGTTTCCTTTAAGTAATTATTTCATTCTTTATTTTAGTAATTTAATTTAATATCATTTAGTTTTAAGTCTCTATAGATAATTCTCGAAATATTTTTTCAAACATATCAAGAATTATTCCCTACACTAGATGACATATTAAAAAAAAATTAATACATGTACATTTAACTCAACTTTTGAAAAAAGTGTAAATTTCTATCTTTAGAATTGAAAATGAAGAGTAGAACTGATAATCTAATAATTAAAAAATATTAGATATTAATTGTAACTTTATTTCTATTATTTTTGATAAATTATCAAAATCAATTTTTCTCTAAGTCTTCTAAAAAACAAATTCCTTTGGATTTGAATAAAGGTTTTAAATCTTTCCCTTAATCATTAATGAATTTTCTTTACAATATAAGTGTTCCTTATGCTTCCAAAATTATTAATTAGGATATAACAAGTTATGAATGATTAGAGACTAAATAAATAATAAAATAATAAATACTTGGTAAAGGATTGTTTTAAAAAAGTGGTTTGTCAGTAGATGAAATTTCTTCTCCATTCTTAACATTCCAGAGACGAATAGAATTATCACAACTACAAGATGCTAATGTATTTCCATCAGGAGAAAAACAGACTGAGTTGACAATTTAAGTATGACCATCTAATTTGGCTTTTTATTATCCTGTTTTGACATCCCATAGACGGATAGACTTATCTTCACCACCAGATGCTAATGTATTTCCATCAAGAGAGAAACAAACTGATCTTACATCATTAGTATGACCATCTAAATACGCTTTTTATTATCCTGTTTTGACATCCCATTATCGAATAGAGTTATCATTACTACCGGATACTAATGTATATCCATCAGGAGAGAAACAGACTGAGTAGACATAATGGGTATGACTATCTAATTTGGCTTTTTATTATCCTGTTTTGACATCCCAAAGGCGGATAGAGTAATCACCACTGCCTGATGCTAATATATTTCCATCAGGAGAGAAACAGACTGAGTTGACAGTGCTAGTATGACCATCCAATTTGGCTTTTTATTATCCTATTTGAACATCCCATATACGGATAGAGTTATCCCAACTACCAGAAGCTAATGTATTTCCATCAGGAGAGAAACAGACTGAGTTGACATCATTAGTATGACCATCCAATTTGGCTTTTTATTATCTTGTTCTGACATTCCAAAGGCGGATAGAGTAATCACCACTACCAGATGCTAATATATTTCCATTAGGAGAGAAACACACTGAGCAGACATAATGGGTATGACCATCCAATTTGGCTTTTTATTATCCTGTTTGGACATCCCATAAACGGATAGAGTTATCACTACTTCCAGAAGCCAATGTATTTCCATCAGGAGAAATACAGACTGAGCACACATTCCCACTATGACCATCCAATTTATTCAATTCATCTATTTTTATGTTCTTCCACTTACAATTGAATAGTTAAGCACCAATCAAATTGACTCCACTTATATCCACATTTTCAAACTCAGATCCACTCAAGTTGCATCCAGCAAAGTTGCCATCAATTAAAGATATATTCTTAATCCTGATATTCTCAAATGATTGATTTCTGAAATCAACCTTCATGCCTACTAATAAATTTAAACCATTCGATCCACATTGAATAAACTTAACATCTATGCTTGTGAGGAGAACTAAAAACTTCATAAAATCTATGATCCCTTTATTATCCTTCATCTTCTTTATTAAATCTGATCTTGCCTTTTCATAAATCTCAGAAGAATAGTCATCCTTAATAAATATGTAATCCTAAATGTTCCTCAAGACATTATTGATTTTCTTTACTTACTTTTTGATATCCTTGATATTCTTCTACTAGTTAACTAAAGATTCATAAAACTTCTGATTTTTTGTCTTCGAAAGGAATTCTAAGATGTCTGAAACTTTCTCTCTACTTAGTATTACAAGAATCTTTTTATAGAGAGATTCATCTATATCTTGGACGTAGGTTAACATTTCAAAAAGATTGCCTTTCATTAAATAAACTTCTTCTTCACTAGAGATATGATTTATTATATTTACATAATTAATTATGAAATATATTCGATTCCATCCTTGGATTTTTCTATAGAAGCTTTAATATGCTGGTCCCACCTACTCTTAGTCTAATCTAACTCCTTCATATAAGAATTCCTCTAAGCATTCCAATCATTTAAAGTTGATCCTTCTACAATGTTTACTAATTTTTC